CTCGTAAACCGCGACCGTCAGCGCTGTTGTGCAGACTTTCACCCCAAGCAGCCACCAGCTCCTCCTTGGTGTTTACGCATGCTCCATGGACTCGGATCGGAAGGCTGAGATCCCGAACAATTTTGCCGAATGCGGAATCGTTGACCACATTGCGTAGTACTCGGCACTGAGTAGAGAGGAGCTTTTCCATACGCGTTTTCCGCTGCATCGGGATTGTTGCACTCAGACTTGGGATACCAAGTCCACCATGTTGTTCACCGGCGTGGATGTAGCCGTTCGGGGTGTCCTTCGGTAGACGTAGCCAGCCACGAATATATTGCCTGATGTGGTTGTCCAATCTTTTTAGTGTGTTCCTGTGGACTTGGCCGAGCACGAGCGAATATGTCAGCCTTGGTATGATATGACTGGTATGACTGATAGTTGCACGGAATTTATAAAGAGCAGAATCGTCCAAAAAGCGCAGCCTAAATGCGTTTCGGTTTGATACAGGTGTCCTCAAAGGTATGCATGTCTGTTTCTAATGGTAGTCCTGCTGCTGTTCGTGGTTCAGCCAGAATCGCTGCCGATCTACCGAGACTAATCTAATATAGCCCATTCTCAGGGGCAGACAAGTGCACGTCAGATTGGTTGCCCCGTATTACAAATGGACTATCGCGTACATAAGCACACTGAGTGATAACGCGCAACTGAGAGTGTTGTGCAGAGATGTGTGTAAATTGTCCGTACTTAACTATCTTCGATAAAGTCTCCTAGCGACGTGTAAACTATTAATCAATTGTCGGCTAAAAATGTGAGGAAATATAGTATGCTCACATGGTCACTACAGCTTACAACTTGCTCTTGAATTTGAGGCTTAAGCGTCCGGTTCGCATACAGCATTCTACAATTAAAATGTATTATTTCGTCCTAGCAATAGATGACGAAAATTACTGGAGCTCATTATTTTACGTACAACATGATACGGAAGTTGACGTGAACGTGCTCGTCGAAATATAGAAGGTTGATATTATTTTTATGGCCCTGCGTCATTTAAACAAACTACGGGAGTTATTGCAATAAACTTTGGCCAAACCTGTGATGTCTAGAACTGGTCACAAGAACCAAAACAGTACAGCACTTTCGCCTTGTAGGAGACAGTGCCAGAGATCTATTAAATTTTATTTCCCTTAGGCATCTCTTGATTATAGGCTAGGCTGACGAAAAGTCGAAAAAACAACAGAAATGCTTCCAATTAGTTAATTAATGTGTCTCCCTCCTCGAGAAAACATTCTGTTGTGCAGTATTGATAAGATATTCCTCCAAGTGGAAAAACTATTCGTTCTTCAAATGTGTTCTAAGACCTCTTCTTTTAGACAGTCTGGTTTTTATCCAACAATTTCAATACATTCCTTGTTTGGAGCTACCCACCGCAACGGATAGTAAGCTGAGACTCATATATGTGCAATCAACCAGTCGTTTTACGTTTTTTGCAAAACATAAAGTCTAGCTTTTTCGTAACCAAAAATGGTTCTGTGCTATAACCATTAGAGAAATCACTCCATTTTCCCAGCAAACGTTTGCTAAATGATATTATCTCTGTTCCTGCACACAATGACTGATAATTAAAGTGGCTGACGTGCACTGAACGAGTCGAACACAGTCCGTTACATTTTCCTCAGCCAAGCTCTTAACTGAAACATGAAATACTAGTAAGCTTTAGCAATTTGACTCCAAGTGAAGAAACTCTAACTTCAGAAGTAGGGATAATCGCTTCAAGAACAGGAAGTCAGCCGCACTCTTTTTACACATGGTTCACACCATGCAAAACAAGTCACCAGGATGAAGTTCAGTTGTTTTTTTCGGAGCTTGGCACACATAGGGCTCTAACGTGAGAGTGGGGACTAGCAATCACAGACATGATGATAGAATGAACGAAGGACGCTATTAATTGGAGAAATATTAGAACAGCTGGAGCAATGCAATTGTCACTACGGATTTTGGAAGTGGCTGAAAAAGAAAACACTGTGATTACCCCATTATAGGGGTTCTCAGCAAAGAAGCATTCCATCCTTCAAGAGAATATCAAGTACCCATCGGTAGACCGTGGTCCACTGAAATGCACATCCAACTTTCCGCAACAATTTTCTTCAGTGGTTTCCACTCTACTATTTGAGTTAAACAGCGCACTAATGCGCACTATTTCGAGGTATGTTCATGGACGAAGGAAGCTAGTGGAGCCACCGAACCAGATCAACCTGAACCCTCAGGTTCCACCAACAAAGATAAAGAAAGACGCTTATTCATTTTGGAAGATGTTAAGATTGTGCCACAGAAATGAAGGCAAGCACAAACGCTCCTTGGAACATGACAGTCCAGAGACCACGCTTTTGTGGTATTCGTTTCAAAGCGTACCTGGTCTCCAATGAACTTGTATTCGATGAATGCCCTCTCAACACTCACCAGATTCAAATAGCTATTGGCGATCAGGGGACTGTGAAGCCAACAAGACAAAGGCTGCTGAAGCAAAGGTCAAGGCGTTAAAGTTTACAGGTAATATAAACTGACCCATAATAGCGCCAACCGACGAAATAAACAATGTGATCGACCATATACACTAACAAAAACAGCTGAATGTTTACCCCCACAACTAAACCTGATTAGGAGTTAGCACGATGCCGCTCAACACATCACTCACTTTTGGGCATGTTTGCAACCGAACCATCTAGCTCACCTAACAGAACGATGGCCACCTTACAATCTGGACTACTAGCACTATCTGCAATTTGATGCTCCTCACTGCCTGGTAGGTATGCAGTCGCACTTTCATTCTACGCCTTCTGATAAGGAGTGACCATGGATTTGCTTTAGCGTCAACAGTGACTAAACTTGTGTACTTCCTATTAGTTGTATTTATTCCAATCTGAGCATCTTGTCTTATGATCTACTTGAACCCAAATTAGACTGTTTTTGATAAATACACTCATTTGCAAATCAATTTGGTTTTCACGGGAGACCCAAGAAGGGCGAAACAGGTCGTGGGCTGTCGAAGAGCAACCTGTCAGCAACCTTGTGAGTAAGTTCCTTTATGAAAATATACTGCGATATCTCGAGTACCGTGCCAACTGAATCATGAGTCGGCCTGTGTGCAGCACACTCAGTTGGAGGACATCACAAACGAGAGATTCAATTGGGTCTCCAGTGGAAACTTAATTGGTTTGCAAATGAGTGTACTTCTCGAATAAGTATGCAATCACTAACATGCCTCCACATTTTCCTGATTGTCGTTCCCGGAAGCTGATAGAAGTTGTCAGGAAAAGGGGAACTGTAGAAGTAAATAGGAATTGGTCCCGCAAAGCCATCCACTACATTTCAGACGTACTAAGAAATGCCAACGGGTGCAGTTGTATTTGTCTCCTGCTTATTTGGCTAATGGTTTTGCCGTTGACAGCAGGGCCAGATAGAGGAAGAGAAACCAATAACTGAATCTATTATCTAGGGTTGTCCAAGTTTGCTAAACATTCTCGGTCAGGGTGAGACATGTAATGGACTCCAGTTTACCAGCAGGCAGGCCGCCCTTCCTTAGAAAACCAATGATATTTAGATTCTTTAAAGTCCCCGCAGTGAAAGTGGGAATCCACAATTGATGCAGTTCAGGGGTTTAAACAAATCAGTTAAGTGAAAGGGCAAACGTCTTCACTGTCCAGCCGGAGAATCGGGACATATCCATTCACTGTAGAAGCAGTAAGAAGTAACCTTTTTAAGCAAATTCCGGGCCGTCATAATTTCTTTACTCGTACCAATCATTTATTCATTCACTGAGGTCTATAAGCGTGGAGCTCACAAAAACCAATCTTAGATATTGTGGCTCGGCAAAATTAATGAGATGCAAATGAGACGACAGCCTCTTGTAAACCTGTTCTTCTCCCTGTCGGTCAACTTCCAACGAAATCGTGAGGCCACAGGCCACTCCAGCTAACGTATCTTGGATTCCAACAAATAGTCCACAGACCACGTTTTCGTCGTATTCGTTTCACAGCGTACCTGGTCTCCAATGAACTTGTATTCGATGAATGCCCTCTCAACACTCACCAGATTCAAATAGCTATTGGCGATCATAAAGCCCCATTTCAACTGTCAGCCTAATCGCCTGACTGTACGAGTTGCAGTGCAACGATTGTGTGCTCCACTTTGAGACAAGGAAGTACACTATGAATGGCCTCCGCCTGTTTACCTTAGGTCCTCCGAGTAGAGTAGAAGAACGTTACGTACTGATTTCCTAGTGGATTCGGAGTTTTTCTAGAAGAAACCGTCGAATATTCCGAACACATCCAATCATTTGATCTAGCATTACATTACAAGCTCATAAAAGATAGACAGTCGTTTTAAATGATTGTAATGGGAATTCGGGTTGCCTGAGTCGTTCGATAAATCAGTAGCTGATACTCATCACCTTAGATAAATGCAAGTCTGGTTACAAATCGGCACTAGTCTCCCTAAACAAATATTGACCAACCGTCTCCAACTCTCGAGATTGCTCTATCAAACTATCTGCCCAGACATTTGAGGCTGACTTGCTCTAACATCGCAGAAATGTCAGGCCTGACATTATCTCCACGACAGGATAAGAGTAGGAGACAGCGTTATTTTTGGCGCAAAAAATCGGACACGTTCAAGTCAACTACCGGACTGGCGATTTCACGGCATGGAATGACATTATCAGCACCTCAATGTGTTGGCCTATGTAAATTAAACACAGGATTAAGTCTCGATTATGAGTGTCTCCGTGCGCGTGCTACACGAAATTCACGTTTAACAAAACACCTTCGTATTTTTCACAAAACTGAAGAAATGTTTTATCTCCATTTTACCTCAAATTTTGGCTCACTGTAAAATTTACGCAGGTAAATTACAAGTAATAATAGCAAGGAAACCCTGGTGGAAGCATAATGGAATAATCGACGATTTCCTGCTTGCTTCTTCTCAAGTTTAGGACTTAGGGGATATTTGGGATCCAATAGGACTTCTGTCACCTTTTTGGTACTGTTTACGGTGAGATCTTAGGGTCCAGTTTTACAGAAATCAGGATCACGTTCGATACGAAAACTATGTTCGCCGTATGTTTTCTCTCTCCAATGCACTCATGGAGATCCATTTGTCGGTTAAAATCTACCAAACAACTGGTCAAGATGCACGCAGTATTATTCTGTGCAGGAGTTCCTCGTGCTTCAAAGTTATTTTCCAAAAAACGCTTGGAGAAAACGAGAATCCGCGTACAAAACGCGTACAATACCTTCCACAGTTCCTTGTGGCTTTAGCTGGAGTTTTTCATCCCCTAAAATTTAGTTGCATTCTGTAACCACTTAATTTCAATGCACATTGCCAGGTATATTTTGTATGGAATTCGTAAAACGCATCAGCGTTATGCTTACTCAAAGTGGGACACACAAAATTCAGTCACCATTTGTAAAATTGCTCAAGTGGAGTGAAAACAGTGACGTACCATATGACTCACCCGAGACTGACAGAAACTTCCAGCAAAGCAGAACATTCCCAGTTCCCTTTATCTAATGCTTCCCCACGCGATTCCTCAAAGGTACGTGTTTTCTGGTGGGGTGCGTTTTTAAATCTATGTCCCGATTGTAAATTTATGGTTTTGTCTGGTATGTAAGTTACTGGCAGTGAAAGTGACTTTGTATGTTCGCAATACAACATCATATATGTTTTAAACTGCATTTTGAATTGCTTTTCCGTAACAAATCCGACTTGATTTTCTTGACATTGAAATAAACATAAACAGTCATCTCTCAAGCATGAACATTTCCTTCATTTCAGGCATCACACTTCAATTGTGTCCAGTGTACAGTTGTGGAATTGTTGCAAAACGTTTGTCTCGTGTGTCAGATGACCAGGATTTCAGTCGTGGCACAGACAGCGATAGGCATTCTTGATGGACTAAGATGTTACTAAAGACCGCTTCTTCTCTGTTCGGTTTATCTGATTAGAATAAGTGCACAGTGACAAAATAAAACTACTCAAAAGGGTTATTAGAAAAAACCACTCAAGCAACACAATCGACGAAGACCTTCCGGTAGCCCTTCTCCAGAATTAGCGCTTCTTGAGAATGGGAGGGTCGAATGGAAAAGGACTACAATGAAAATATCGTGTTTCGTTTTAGGCCCTGCAAGAAAATGGTATAGAATTTACTATGTCTGTTTATTAACAGTTGGTCCTTTTGGGGTTTATCATTTAGATCTGTCAAAGTATTACGTCACAAGTCATCCCTAACTGGAACAATTGTCTCCCGTTAGTAGATTTTCCGGTTTGGAAGCATGAAGTTTCTTAGTGATGTGAACGCACACCGCAAGTAACTACTGTGTGAAATCCACTGGAAAGGCATGCTCAAGTGACAATGATGAATCTTTATGTTAATGTATATTTGGATTTCAATGGACAGAGGTGCGGAACGGAAAGGACTTCTTGAGAAGCGACTTCATGATGTGATTCTGGCATTGGTGAAACGTATGTTGGGGGTATATAAATCCAGTATGGCAAGAAGCAAAACAGTTGCCTTTGGCGGTTTTTGGTGTTACTTCTTAATAAAAATAAATCAACGTCAAATAAATTCACTAGGCACTTGTTTGCTAGGACATAACGGTGAAAGCTCCGAACATTATTTGCAGTCGAAACCGTGAACAGCAACTGATTGCCTGCATGAAACGTAAACTATACTATATCGGTGAACCACCATATTTATCATTTATCATAGACACAGTTTGTGCGAATGCTTGATTATTTGGAAAAACCGACAACGGAATAAACTCGCGTTATTCTGTCAAGCCAAGGTCACGAGGTATTTGCCGCCAGGAGTTTACAAACCTAAGTCCCCTTGTGTCTTGTGTTGGCCGGAGGTTCGCCAAAATTCAAGGTCACGCGCTATTTGCCGCCAGCAGTTTACAAACCTAAGTCCCATTGTGTCTTGTTTTGGCCGGAGGTTCGACAAAACGTAATAACCCCTAGCCGTCAGGATCTTGATCGTTACTCATGTTCACTTCATTTAGTAGATTCGGTCCATTTAGTCGCAGTTTGTGTGCCAGCTGGCTATGATTTATGGATTATCTGACATTTGGCAGGAAGTTTGATTTTATTACTATCCAGCGAGTGGAGAGACTGGAATTTACCGTGGTGTGACGGATTGCGCACCTCAGCGATCCATTCATCTATACTGGAGAGTGTCCCGCGACACTCACAGAGTCTCTCACACCAGGTTGGTCAATGGTTAGACGTCTGACGAACACAGTGTCCTGGCCCTCCAGGTTGGGGGTTGGAACTTGTGGCGACTTGTTTCATAGAAATGCTAATGCATTTGCATTTCCCGCCAGACACCGCTGCCTCGCGGTTAGGCTTTTGAGCCAAAGGCTTTGGTTGAGGACCCTAATCGTCCTCCTGTCTAGGTGTGGGCGCCCTGGCAGTATCCCAGCCCACGTACAAC